ATACGGTAAAAAAGTTATACATGTCTTATGATCATAAGGACCAAATATTAATTATTTTAGATTAACATTTGCATTCAAAGTTATGTTTGAATTTTTCTAACCGGTAATTTGAAATGAACCCAATGTGGTCAGAGATGATCCCTAGGCTTATTTTTAGAACACCTAAAATTCAAGTATCAAAATCAACTAGTACAACACCCATGTATTACATGGGTGGCGACGGTGTCTCGTTCATGGACGGATTCATAAAAGTGGGATGGGTATCCGAACAAGTCAAATCCAAGACCGTCCCGGCCCACCCTTACCATAAATAATCAACATATTATAGATAATCCGAACCTAAATATATTTGGATTAGAAGTAAACTAAATCTACCAAAGCCTAATAAATGAAACATGTATTTTTGCCACATAGGATCCCGAAGCATGCGAGCCTGCCACATAGACTCAACACGTTCTCAATTAATATATAGGGAGGGATGTTGACTTTTGCGGAAAATCGATGTAACTCATTTATATATGTTGCCTACAACATAATACAAATAGAAAATGCAAACAACTTAAATTTTGAGAAAATCTCTTTGTAATTATTTTACAATATAATTATATATGTATTAATTTTTTTAAAAAATTGCACAGAGGCCCGTGCCCCTACGGACCCCTGCCTCCGTCCGCCCCTGATTACACTACTATTTTTTATTTTTATTTTTTATTATTTCCTTGAGCAAAAAATCAGTTTCACTAAAAAGTAATAAAACCATATAACTGAAATTAATGGTCATTTCTCTTTTATAAAGCAACTACACTAATGATATCCAATAAAACAGTTCCAAGCCCTGTTTATTAGATGGACACTTGAGAATTTAATAACATGAAGATCGAATTTAATAATCCGATTAGCGCAATAAGATCGATTTTTTTTGTGGATAAGAATTGTGTGCTTTTTTGATTACTTTTTTTCCACATTTAATCTGAGTTTTAGGGAGATTATTAGCTTCATAGGGACATTTTCATGATAATTAAACAAGATTTATTAAATATTAGTAATCCTTAATTAAAATTAAAACTGGAGACAATATATGAGAAGTTTTTTCAGACAACCTGGCCAATTCTGTCTCATATTCAACTAGCAGTCGGCATTAGCCAGCAGTTTCATTGCACCTCGCAAGTATTTTTATTCCCTGAAGACTTCAATTTGAATTAATTTGAACGAATATTAACTGTGACAAATTTAAATATAAGCAATCATCTCCTAAGGCATAAAAAGCAAAATGATCCAACATATGAACAAGGCATCGGAACCAAGCTATACTTGTTTTAGTTTTGGCCTTATTTAGTAAATAGCTATAACTAATTGAATTAAGACTAACTCGTTGAATCAACTATGAAATATTTGATAAATAAATTAATTATTTCATTTATAAAATAACTAATATGGAAATCCTCAATTCCAAAGGCTCATGTACCAAGATTTATAAAATTTGCCTTTTTTTTTTTAATGAAAAGGTTATTTCAAATCCCTACTGACAAAACAATACAATTAAAAGTTCGACAGGTCCAACCTTTAATTACCATCAAACTTTGATTTAATACCAAAAATGTTTTTATTACCAAACAAGTCTTTTGTCTTTAACATGAAAAATAATAAACTTTAATAAAGTTGGATACGACAAGCAAAATTAATTTTAATTAATGAATATAAATAAAAGAAAAAAAAAAAAGGAGGAAACGTATACTGTATTAGATTTACAAACAAACCGCCCCTTAAGCAAAACGACAAAAATCAACCAAAAAAGAGTAATAAATTAAAAATATATTATTATTATTATGATCATTATTATTAACCTTTCAACACAGTTGTCAATGACTTGTAATAAATGACTATAAAATTCCATTACCGACTTAACAAGGGCTGCTTAGATGCGATGCCTCGTGATAAAGCTTACCACGTTTGGAAATAAATAGTTAACCCACACAACGACTTCCAAAACCATCATTAAATGGACTGCTAAATATTCTTGCGGCCTTAATTAATTACCCAACTGAGTGGCCCAGGCCCACTAAATCCTATTTTGAAGTCCACAAGACAGGCTTGTGGACACAATTTTGCTACATGGAACAAATTACAACTAAGCACACCTTAAAAGTCCAACAAATCTACTTTCAGAGTTTTGTCCTTTTTCCAAAAAGGGCAGAATGGGATTATTATTATTCTTGAGTTTCTCGAATTTGGAAATCTAACGGTGTGGAAAAGAGAAGATTAGAGTGTATACAGTCTTTCTTGGCCACATTACATGTGGCAAACACTCGTTAAAGGAGATAATGGTGTTTTGTTTATTACGTACGCTTTTAACGTTTTGCGAGGTTTCATTCTTATGATTTAATTATTAAAAAAATTATGTTATTAGTAATTTTAATTATTTGTTAGAGTGAATAGAATAGAATGCCAAGAAAAATGTTCTCAATTAATCAATTAGAATGAGTGTCACATCTGTTAATTACTTGTACAATCATATCTATACGATAACACCGGTGAAATCTTTTTTAGGTTTGAGCTTGGGTCAGATCATTTATCTTCAAGTTTATTTAAGACTCGTTTAGTTAATCAATCGCCTTGTTAAGGCTTCATAAATAAGGAATTTTAACTAATTAATTTTATGAGTTTTTATTATATACTGGCTCATTATAAGGCTCAAACTCGATTTGTTAACGAGCCAAGCTCTAATTCGCTTCTCAGCTTGTTAACTTACAGACCGATCCCAACGTCGAACCCTATAAAAGTTTGAGCCGGTGCTCGAGTACTAAAAGTTAGAGATCAGATTCTCTCAATTATAGCTCTAATTTTGAGCCATTGATTGGTGAAGTTTTTGTGTTTAATTGAACAATATTATTGTTTAACGTCATCCTAATTACTTAAAAACGAAGAAGAATCAACATTAATTTCTAATTAAAACATTGTCACAATTTAGTGCCTTTTTTTATTTTTTTTTATTTTCATTTTCCCTTTTCCTTCTATCACCCCTTGTCTTCTCATCAGTGTCATCACATGCCACCAAGGACAAAAGGTACCAGACTTCAAACACTAGTTTTGTGCAAATCAGGATTAACCTTAATCTTATGCACTAAAAATTAATTTTCCAAGAATAGAATCTATCCATGAAACTTTTATAGCAAGTGTCAAACTCACTCCACTTGTCATGTAAAATACGCATCCAAGTCTCGTTTGGCCCGATTTATGCGTTCATGACCTGAAGTATTAATCACATTTAAAAAAAAAAAAAAATTGTTGTGCATGATTAAGCATCCTACCACAAAATGCTCCAAATTAACAACATATTAAATCATGCACCCAAACAGGATTTAAAGATGGATAAACCTCATCCAATGTTGTGCATGATTATTACTAAGCACATATTAAATCATGCACCCAAACAGGATTTAAATATGGATAAACCTCATCTAGTGTTGTAAACGAACCGAACCGAACTGAGCTTGGGATGTTCGAGCTCGTATTCGTTTACGTTCGAACAGTGTTCGTGTTCGTTCGTTTATTTTTCGACCAAAAAATCATGTTCGAGTTCGTTCGTGTTCGAATAATATAATACATAAACTTTTTAAATATGTTTGATTAACTCGAAATTTGTTCGTTTGAATTCGAAAATAAAAGAATAAAATAAAAATATTAATATATTTTAAATTTTTTATTAAAAATATTACGTAGATATATTAATAATAAATAAAATTATATTAAATTTTAGATTTTTTATTAAAAATATTATGTAAATATATAAAAAATAAAATAAACTTATATTAAATTAATGTTCGCGAACATAATCGCATGTTCACGAACGAGCTCGTGTTCGTTTGATTATTAACCGAGCCTAATTTTCTGTTCGAATTCAGCTCGATTAACAAACAAACGTGTTTTTTTCGAACACGAGCGAGCTTTTGTTCACGAACGTTCAGTTTATTTACAGCTCTAGGTTCTCATCCAATGTTGTGCATGATTATTACTAAGCACATAATAAATCATGCACCCAAACAAGACCTAAAGATGGGATAAACCTCATCCTGGATGATTTTGATAGAGACCATGTTAGGAATCCATCATCACTAGGGATTAATTCTTAACAGCTTAAGGTTTTAGACAAGAGACCATAATCCAGTACAAGTGATTTTGTCCCTTGTTGTCTAAATTTAAATAATTCATGCATTTTGTCCTCTTCCTTCTCTGTTTAATAATTTCTTTTTTTTTTTTTTAATCCCAAAAGTTTTAGATAAAGATATAGATAGAATTGGTTTATTCTACTTAACTTTATAATAACATGTTACAATATATATGAAAGAACTAGACTGAAGAACTTGTTCGCTACTGGAAAAATATATAGAAATTATTATATACTTCAGAAAAAACGTTTCACGAATATGATGTTTCAACAAAAATTCTTATACTATGAAATTATACTTTTGCATATGTTGTTTGTTAAAGTATAACATTTGAATAAAATAGTATATATGCATATTTATTGAAAAATTATAAAATAATCTGATCATTAGATCGATCAGGTTGTGCCTCCTCTACTTGATATCTAGCGGTAGTCACTGTTAATGGGGCATTTAGGCTGTAACGAGGATCATTTTGGATACTTGTAGGATATTAAAAAAATGATTTTTATTTAAAATAAAAAGGAATTGAAAAGAATGAAATTATGAAAATCGATAACTATGTGCTAATCAATAATTTTGCCTCCAACAGTCCAAAATTAATTTACGAACAATTATTAATTTCCAAAAATAATACATACACTATGCAGGATTAGTGGTTCAATGCACTTAATTAATTAATATGAATACTCGACACAAGAAAAAGCAGAAGAAAATAATTGGTCAGCATTTTCTATAAATAGCCACTCGATTTAATCTACGCGTATGATTCATCCTCCAATTTCTGTAGTCCACATCCAGAGAAAGTGAGAGAAATTTGGTATACTCTGTTGATTTTCTTTATATGTGACGTGAAGTCCAACCATTTGCTTTCTTTAGTATAAGTACGTGCTACGTCACATTTCTGGATAATTCTATTAACCAAGGTAAGTTTAATATAATGTAATAACATTATGATTTTATATGTGTTTAATTAGTAATAACAAAAAATAGATAGTTGGGGGTATTAAAAAAGGAGAAAGTATTTGAGTAAGGGTAATAATGCCAAGTTATATCTAAACGGAAAAATCTATATATCTATAATTGTTAACAAAACAATTAATAAAACTTCATTTATTTTCCCTTCAAAAGATGTTAAGAAAAATATGTTTACTTTATTATTTTTTAATTAAAACCTTAAACAACTCACTAATTAATGAATATTTGATCTATATATATACTTGCTAACAAAAAAAAATATATTAATAAAACTATATGAATTTTTCACATTTTTTCGTTACAATCTAATATATATATATTTTTTTAAAATAAAACTAAAACTTAATCAATGACTTTTTTTAATAATGATTAATTAAAATAATCATAGTTTTAATTATTTTATTATATCATAGTTATTACTAAAAATAAAACTAACCAATTATAATTCGCACTAAATGATATATAGAAGCTCAATAAATATAAAATGTTATATTGAATTTTTTTTTCTTAAACTATTTATTGCTCTTAAGCATTTTTAA